TACTTATGATCCTGTAGGTTAGGATTTTAGGAAAAGAGTGGAATGGCTTTTCTTTGATACTATTCTGTTGTTATGGCTTCTAGTTGTTCATGCTAAACTTTTCTAACACTCTGAGTAGCCCTAGGTATACAATTCAAGGCCTATTTATGAGTTCTTGTCTTGCTCTCACCACCCCAGTATAGAAAATGGCCAATGTTGGCATTTCCTATGACAAAGCAGTATGGTACATGGAATGTTCCGTATCTCACCTTACCTTACCTTACCTTACCTTACCTTACCTTACCTTATAGGTGCTAAAAAAACTATAAGCTTTGCAAAGAAACGAGTATCCCCAGGAAGTAAGAACGAGCAAGTTCTCAAGTTTTTAAAAAGATTTACTTCACGGGCAAAGGCCACGCGAATCAACACTTTTCTTCGCGTTACCGCGGCCTCTTTGAATCACACCTAAACGCGAATGGGCGGATCGAAGACTTAGGCAGCAACCATGCTGATCCGACCTGAAGACATCGGATGGACACCGATTGTGTCGACTTCGTCACTGGACTTAACAGTCGTTTATCTGGTGACTCCTGAATCACAACTATTGGCTAGTCGACAACAACGACTGTACAAGACCCAGAAGTAAGATCCGCCGAACTTAAGTTGCAACTCCACAGGTACTGAACAGCTACCCTGCTGTCCCTGTGAAGAAACTGAAGACCCGACCTCAGCGAAGAATGCGTAATCGTGTGTACCGAAGTCAAACACCGCATCGCGGGCTCTCTTCACTTCCGAAAACTTAGTATGCTCGTGTCGCGCCCCCCTGTCTCCCTCTCCTCATTATCTTCCTTAACAAGAAGCATTTTTGTTGTGCACTCTATCACGTAGTGCCCCATCTGCCCGCACCTAAGGCACGCACCCCAGCTTCCACTTATTGTTCTTGGAAGAGCTCCCTGATGCTGCTTTTGCCTTCCCTTTAAATTTAATTTGGACGTAGAGGTGAACAAAAGTATATCCCTAGGATTAGGATCTACACTTTGTCCAGACAGGCTCAGCCTGTTCATCCTCTATACGTAAACGTCTTATCATGCACCTTTGCATTAAGAAAATAAGGAAGGGTTATGCTGATGCAGTAGCAAAGACTGCNGGTACCGCGGCCTCTTTGAATCACACCTAAACGCGAATGGGTGGATCGAAGACTTAGGCAGCAACCATGCTGATCCGACCTGAAGACATCGGATGGACACCGATTGTGTCGACTTCGTCACTGGACTTAACAGTCGTTTATCTGGTGACTCCTGAATCACAACTATTGGCTAGTCGACAACAACGACTGTACAAGACCCAGAAGTAAGATCCGCCGAACTTAAGTTGCAANCAACTTTGTCACTGGACTTAACAGTCATTTATCTGGTGACTCCTGAATCACAACTATTGGCTAGTCGACAACAACGACTGTACAAGACCCAGAAGTAAGATCCGCCGAACTTAAGTTGCAACTCCACAGGTACTGAACAGCTACCCTGCTGTCCCTGTGAAGAAACTGAAGACCCGACCTCAGCGAAGAATGCGTAATCGTGTGTACCGAAGTCAAACACCGCATCGCGNCTTCACTTAAGGCAGGATTCCGCTTTGAGAAATCCTCTGCCTCTATCGGTCAAGCAAGATTTAGCAAAAATAGATTGTTCTGAAGACTTAGCCACCATACTCTGGGGTTTCAACCAACCGTCGGTGATTAATGAAAAAAATGGCAAACCGGCGCATACAGAAAAAAAAAAAAGAAAGCTTTTTTTTAGCATATAGTATAGTATAGTATAGTATGGATTTCAAAATCAGTTAAGAGAGGGCGACTCGAAGCAAGTGGCGCCATTCACTAACCCAGACCCATTTTGTCAGGCGCGCACAACCGAAGATAATGACACCCACTTTTTGATGACCAACAAGCACGATGAAGTAAGTGCCCCGGGTTGAAGCTATAATTGTAATAGGGAGCCAAAAAACGTGAGCGCAGGGGCGCTCACGTTTTTTGGCTCCCTCTGCTCGCCTACACGCAGAAACCACGATCGTCGAACACCTTGACCAGCAAGTCTCTCTTGCACCATTTGGAATGGATTGAAAAAAGTATGGTGGCCTCTTATATGCCTCGATAACAAACATCTCTAAAACGACCTGTCCGATCTCTGTCTCCGAACGCTTCTACTGCAAGCAACTCTGACCTCGTCAGAAACTGGCAACCTCAGATCCTATGACTGCTAAACTGAGAGCGAATCAGAACTATCCTCAACATCTGCTGAAATCAGTGGACATTTACTATGAGTCGCTCCCCCTGGAGCTAAACCGAGCTGTCCTGCAACGAACCAAGTGGCACCACTATCTGTCCAACCAGGAGAAAACCGCAGCGGAAATCTGCACTCCTTTGATCAACCACATCAGGTACTAAACAGCTACCCTGCTGTCCCTGTGAAGAAATTGAAGACCCGACCTCAGCGAAGAATGCGTAATCGTGTGTACCGAAGTCAAA